TTAAAATGTAGAATTAAGGTGCACCTCTAAAATCCTTCGAAAAAGGTTGTTTTGATGTTGAAAAGATGTGTAATTGATCATCTCAATGTCAAGATGTATAAATATGGAGAAAAAAAAAGAGATTTTTATGTATTTATAGATTTTTTTGATTTGAACCAGTTTTAGAGTTCAAAATTTTAAGCTAAAATAGTGCATCTTGCAACAAATTATTTAAACCGTTCATTTTTAAGATTTTCATGTGTTTATAGATTTTTTTAATTTGAACCATTTTTGGAGTTCAAAATTTTATAATTAGAAATAAAAATAGATACTCACACCATCTTAAGAATTTTCAGCATCAAAATTGCATCTCAGGACAAAGTTTGGAGGTGCACCTTAATTTGATTGTTTAAGGTTGCAACTTTATTCAAACCACACCCTTAGCCAAAACTATTGGCCATTTAGTGCGTTTCCATCGTAAGGAGGAGATGATACCAGGTGCTCGAACCACCTTCTAGTGCTTTTGTGGTCGAACCACCTTCTAGTGCTTTGGCTGGTCAGGGTTCAAAGTAAAACCTATTTTTCTTTAAAAATCGGTCAAAACTAACGTTTGCTCAGTTTGGGCTTGTTAGACCAACCTATTGTGACCGATTAAACAAGGTTTGACAACCTTTTTATAATATAATACATATATTTCAAATGGTCTTCCTATTGTTTCATCATTTTTTTAAATCCGATCTAATTGATTCAATGGATGATAGGGTAGATTTCTACCAAAACTAGACCCTTACTGGTTTAGTGTGATGGTGATCACACTGGATTTTCAACTATGGAAAAAGTTTATATAAGGGTGAGGCCTATTATAATCAAAGTAAGGTGTACCTCAAAAATTAATTAGAAAAGATTTTTTCGATTCCTAAAAACCCTCAAATCGATCATCTCGACCTCGAGATGTATGAACATGAGGAAAAATGGATTTCAAGTGTTGGAAATAGTGCATCTTATAATGCATTTTTTTGGATCATCAATTTTCAAGATTTTTAAGTGTTCATAGATTCTCAATCTACACTATTTTTTAAGTTTTAAAGTTTATAATTAGATATGAAAATAAATTTTTAGGCTATTATAAATACTTTCAATACTGAAACATCTTTCAATGCTATTTGAAGGTGCGTCTTACTTTGATTGTTTAGGGCTTCAGCCTTATAGACTACTCGATTTAGTTGTATATCATTAACGCATTAGTGACTCATCTCCATTATCATTTGATGAATGCAACATTACATGACCAACTTAGGAATGACTTCTCACTCTAGGTGGAAGGGCCTAAATTCCATTCTTATTGAGTTCCAAATTAAAACAGTTTTTTTCGATAGATTTTTTATGTGCATCTTAATTTTATATTTTAAAATTACAACTTTATATAAACTTTTTCATATATATGACACAATTTCTATGAATCTATATAAAAATGAGTCTTCTTAAAAATCTATTTTTGAAATGGATTTTTGGATTTAATTTTTAGGACAAAGAGATCATGAATATGAAAAAATAAATTACAAATAATAATTCCGAGAACATTTGAACTGTTAGTTTCAATTGTTTTTTGATGGACCAACTATTTGCATCCATCTATAAGATTGATGCTTATACATTGGGACTGTAGAAATGCGATCCAGCATACATGAAACAAGTTTTCATATATAAAAGTAAAAAAGAAAGACTAAAAACATTATTTGATGGCCAAAATTCTATGCAGTAAGTGCAGGTTCCACGTGACGTGTACGCTAGCCCCTTCAAAAATTGTATTAAAAAAGGGAGAAAAAAAAGAAAAAACCAGTCAAAGGGTAAGTCCAGCCTCCCTCTCTCATGCTTCATCATATATTTATTTATATTATTCAACAACTTACTTTTATACACACTAACATTCCTTTGTCGTGCAAAAATCATATTTTTTTGGTAAAAAGGTCTGTGCTGTCTCAGCAAATTCATATTTTCTATTAGAAAGAGAGATATAAAGCCGGCGGACCACCGATGGCAGAAAAGGAAAAGATGCGGCGTCAGATGGGCAGGCAAGGTAGGTTTCAGTTGGCTCCTCCCTTTCCCTCTCCTACTTTAACCATGTGATGTTAGTATTTGTTCTGTTTTCTTTTATTTTTTCAGACGAGACAACTATCAGTGTCGTGAGAGCGTGCTATCAAGTGGACGCGATAGCATGCTCTCCACTTACTCCCATGGGGAAAGAGCTGCTTAAGAGTTTTTTTATTTTATTTTTACATGTAAAAAAAAATGGGATCCAATTAAAATGTTGATTTTTGAGTTCTTAAATGCTTAGATTTTTATACTCGACATCAGCTTGGGCCAAGTTTGAACTCAGTTAGGGCCTCAAACTCAGCCTTATCCCGAGCCGAGTGATTCGGCCAAGTCTGAGTGCGGATTCCACTTGGACTCAACTGAGTAGTGTACAGGGCGCTAAAGGCTCTCGAGAAAATGAAAAAAAAAAAATTGATCCTTTTTTAAAACTAAAACAAAGCCTGAGACAACACAAAAAAGTCATAAATAAATAAATATAAATAAATAAATATATATATATATATATATATATATATATATGGGAAAGGCTGACATGAGCCCACTAGCTCACACCTACATATGAGCCCGATGGTTCAAATTGAATTTGGACTGTTCCAATGATCATGATTACATTTTGTATGTGAATTTTAATTTTTTTTTATAAGTCCAAATCACTTGAAATTTTGAGCGTGCATTATTTAAAATTTGGAGAATATAATAAAATATCAAAGAAATAGTTTGAAAAAATAAATTAACCAAAATACACTTGATACTTTTCCTGTGATTATGGCTAATTTATATTTTAATTAGGTTTGCCTTGATGAGAAGAATGGACAACTAAATTTTTTTATGATTTGGATTTATAGAAAAATATTAAAATTAAAATACGAAATGAGATTGTGACCATCAGATCGGCCCAGTCATATATAGCTGTGAGGTAGTGGGCTCACGTCAATGTTTCATATATATATATATATATATATATATGAAAAACGTTTATATGGAGCCAATGCTCTAAATAGTGAAATTAGAGACCCACCTCAAAAATTTCACTAAAAGAGGTTGTTTTGAGTAGAGTTTAACGTGCATAATTTTTATATATTGAAGCCACAGTTTATACAACTTTTATGATTTTTTATTTTGTTTAATAACCCCAGAGCCACACCCAAGTTCCCAGCTCGGGAAGGAGCTATATCCGAGTTCCAGTGGTCTAGGCCGAGTTTTCAATCACTGATTAAAACTAGCAGACATGTTAAATCCCAAAATTTAAGGTCCTAAAAATACGCCTGGATTGAAGTCAACCCAAAAAAAATGTATGAACATGTTAAATCCCAAAATTTAAGGTCCTAAAAAAACCAGCGGATTGAGGTCTACCAAAAAAAAAAAATGCATGCACGAAAATCAAATGCTCCAAGAGAGAATGCATGGAGGATATATGCTGCCGCAGGAGCATGGAATCTTTGAACCATGAAGAACATGAGAAGAAGTGACAAATATCATGGGAATCCATATGATCTCCGCCTGTGTATTTCGCCAAGTGACGTCAAATGTTTAAAACAAAAGCTTTGGTAATCTCGAGGGCGCTCCTTTTTCGGTTCGAGACAGCTCCTGAAGTTTGTTGGGAACAAGTTTTGGATACCATTTGTTGCTACACTAGGTCTAATGTAGTGATCATTAACCAGAAATTTTTCATTATTTTTTTTTACTTTTCCATCTTAAAGCATTTTTTTGTTGGAGCAGTGAAAACCAATCAAGTGAAAGTGATTGACTTACTCTACCCACTCTCTCAGTCAATAAAGTTGTGTTTTGGACAAAACCTACAGAATCTCTCTCTCTCTCTCTCGCCAAAACTAACTCTCTCTCTATCTCCAAAACTCTCTCCCTCTCATAGTAAAAAAAATTGATATGTATGAGTATTTTTTCCATCTGAAATCTTGGATCCACATAAAAATGACAACATGAATTGCTTTTTAAAAAACGGAAGTTAGAATTTGAGTTTCCAAAGATGTGACTGACAAAAATTGGATAATATCTATTCAATTTTATGATTTTGTTGTTTTTTTCAAACATCTAGAGTGTGTTTATTTTTATTTTTTCTTTTTCTGAGGTTGCTCACTTGATTGAAGATAAAATATGTGCAAAAATTGGGATCATCAAGAGACTGTTAGATTGTGTTTTACTCGCGAGAGTGAACGTGGGAGTGTTCCCACTAGAAGATAATATTTTTTTTGACATATTCAATTGCTATTTCATAAGGAAAAGGTTAAAGGAACTCCGAGGCCTTATGGAAAAAAAAGGTAAAGCCCTCAAATCGATCATGCCGGCTTTGATTATTATGGTTGTGAGTAAAAATCGAGAAACCTAGTGTATATTGTAAAACATTATTTAGACCATCTATTTTGAAGTGTTGACGTATATGCAAGATCTTTACCATTTTTGGGTATTGGAAATCTCCATATGATAGATCTAAAATCAATTTCCATCACCAATTATGAAATTTAAATCTCAAGAAATGATACAGATAATATATTATACATACAATATTTTTCGGATTTAAAATCTTTTTTTTTTTTTCACAATCATAATGATCATGGCGGAGATGATGGTTTTGAAGGTTTTCCAACATGATGAAATACAATTTTGAGGTGAGGCTTCACTTATTTTGAGGGTCATGTAGAATTATTAAAATATTTTCGTTCGAGATGAGAATTGGGGGCCATTGCATTGCATTGCAGTGGGAATGTGCGATGATTTGGGCGGTGAGAGGAGCGGTAGCTTTCCATTTTTGTTATGTAGTAAACAAGCAGACAAAAGTAGAGAAGCTTCTTATCCTCCTGGTGGGGCTTCCCCCCAACGTTACTTTCGAATCTACAAAAGCGAAAGCCTATTCACCTACATAAACCACTACCCCATTTCCTTCCATCCCTCTCTCTTCACTTTCTCTCTACCCAACATCACTCCCTTCTCTCTCTGTTGCATTCATCCCTCCATTCCATTCCACCACCCACCACCCCTCTCTCTCTCTCTCTCTCAGTTTTGTTAATTTTTTGCCATGGCTCCGACGACCCTTCCTCCCGGATTCCGGTTTCACCCCACCGACGAAGAACTCGTGGGTTATTACCTTGCCCACAAAATCCACGGTCAAAAGATCGAACTGGAAATCATTCCGGAAGTGGATCTCTACAAGTGCGAACCGTGGGACTTACCAGGTATCATCTCATCCACTACTGTTACATTGAGACAATTTGTTGATGTTATTGTAAGTTAGCGTTACGAATTCCTATGGAGAAGAGGACTGCTGTAAGTATTGATGTAGAAGTAAGTAGGAATTTCTTATGTGGGCCAATTTCATGATTGTGCAGATAAGTCACTGTTGCCGAGTAAGGATTTGGAGTGGTATTTCTATAGTCCCCGTGATCGGAAATATCCCAATGGGTCGAGGACCAATCGTGCAACGCGGGCTGGGTATTGGAAGGCGACAGGTAAAGACCGGAAGGTGCATGCCCTTGGGCATGCCCTCGGCATGAAGAAGACTTTGGTCTATTACAGAGGACGGGCTCCCAATGGGCAGCGAACTAACTGGGTTATGCACGAGTATCGCCTAGTCGACAATGACGATTGCGAAACTCCATGGAAATCACAGGTCTCTCTTGCTCCCTCTTAGAAGTTGTTCATAAATGTCATCTCTCTTTCTCTCCGTAATGGCCTCTAAAAGCTCACATTTAAATTTCAGGACATGTGCGCTCTATGCCGTGTATTCAAGAAGAGTGGGTGCGGCCCAAAGATAGGAGAGCATTTCGGGGCTCAAGATTATGGTTCGTGTAGCGTGGTTGAGGATTGGATTGTTGAGCACAACATAGAAGAAGAGTTAAGTGAGAAACAGGATTCCAGATTCCCCTCAGACACTTCATCCTCGGAGATCATTGGGGCCTCAAGCATCGATGTTCGAGAATCTCGATGGCCTCAATTCTCCATGGATGAAGTGACCAGTCTTGAGAATCCTTCTCCTAATATCATCAAGGTAATGGGAAGTTTTAATGGAGAATCTACTACCACCTCTATATTGTTCTTGAACTTTACCTTTCTACCAAAAATAAAAATTCGACAATTTAGGTTATCAAATTCTACATTGTAAATATAGAATTTTTGTCTACGAGTTCTTATCATCTAAATATATCACAGAAAAGCATACAACAAGATCATCCACCTTCTATGAATGAAAAATAATCACCTTTAACTTTCAGATGTGAAATTGGTTGCCTGGGGATATGCCATTAACTACCTTGGAAAATTGTTTTCCAAATTTATGTTGAGCAATGACACACCGCCGCCCAATTTCAGATATGACGAATAGGCTGCTTGTGACATTCATGTAGTATCCAATTTTCTGCAACAGACTGTTCAAATAAATGGATATTCACCAAAAAAAAAAATCAAATTCCTTGTGGCAGGATAATGCGGCTACTCAGTTTCCAAATGATGCCAACTACCCACCGCTGGAGGTACACGACTTCCCCCAAATGGATCCTCTGTACTTGAAATTTTCCAAGCGTGAAGGGATGGAAGAGTTCATTAAAGCTGAAAAATGCAGTGCTCATAACACAACTAGTGAAGGGGACATCCTGGAAGAGATTTGGCACTTGGCTCGAGCCTCTCAAGATGATTTTCCTTTGATCTTGAACTCATGGAATAGAATTCATGCTAATCCGGAATCGTTATCACCATGAGTAAGCGAGGAAGAATTGAATTTTCTGCTAGGCATTACCATAAGGTTATGGACTGACTGTAGGGCTGTTGGATCATTTCAAAAATCATCGATTCAAATACTTTGGCTCTTATTGATTTAGCAATAACTAACAAGGTCAATTGCGCTCTCATCTCACTCGAGAATAATTAAGCAAGGTGTTTGATATCTTTTTAGCTTTGTTCTGGAATGACAGAGATTTAACTGATGATCCAAGAAGAAAGAATGATAGGATCATTGATTCATTGGTGTTATATATTGATTCATTGGTGTTATACAGGAATGTACGAACTTTAAGACTTTTTAGTCAATGTTTGGTTGTTTACGGCAATTCTTTTTCAAATCACAAATTAATTTACTTGTTTCAATGTATTCTCTTGTACTCTATTTTCTCTTAATTTTAAATTGATTCTGGAGAAACAATTATCAGACAATTTGATTGAGTAGGTTAATTTTGAAGAAAACACATCCTCTCAAATATTGCTGACACCTAAGAATTTGTTTTACATGAATTGCGTATATAATACTAGTGGGACTACATGATTTGCACGCCGATATGAAATGAGCGATGACTGAAATAATGGCATAAATATACAATGGAGGATACATAGAAATACAGTAAGCATTCATACAAGGGTGAAGTTGGCATACGGATGCCTCCATAGGTGTAGAGGTACGGCGCCCTTCAAATTTTATCATGGTATATAATTTTGATGTAAACTGTTATTAGGAATACCTCAAAATCTATTTTTATATCTAATTATAAAATTTTAAATTTAAAAAATGGTTAAAATAAAGTAGATCCATAAACATATGAAAATCTTGAAAATGGACGGTGTAGATAATATGTTGTAAAATGCACTATTTTTTAGACTTAAAATCTTTTTATTTTTCATAGTCATAGATTTTAATGTCGAGATGATCAATCAAAAGGTTTTTCAATGTTAAAACTACCTTTTCCGATGGATTTTTGAGGGGCATCCGTAGTTCTACGTTATAAAGTAGCATCGTTATATAAACTTTTTCCTTCATATAAATATAAGTAAATATGCAAATAGAAAAATACATAGATATGCAATAAGCGATCGTACAAATTTGAGATTTTCTTACTCTCTTTATATCTTCCCTAGCTTCATCCTTTTCCTTATTATTTCAAGTAAAACTAAATTAAAAACTATTAATTTAGAGGTTCTAGCACCTAAGGTTCTGACTATTTCTTCTAGTGGTTAATTTTGTATTTGTTTTCATCATGCGCTTGACATATCCAAAACATTATAAGAAAAGTGGGTTTCTTATAAATTAAAATACCTTGATAAAAACCATTCAAGCAATTTCTACTAGTAATTTATTCAAGCATTCTTCCTTCTCACTGACCTTTGCACTCTCACAATTTTGCAGGGCTTTGAAACTAGTAGTTTCGTAATTTGAAATTTCAACTTTTCTTTACAGAGTAGAGAAAGAGAGGATGAGAAAGAAAGGGAGAATAGAAAGAGAGGATAATGGGGATTTTAGAGAGAGAATGAGAAAAGAGAGAGAAAATGAGGAAGAATAGAGAGAGGCTGATCTTCTTTATTTTTGTAGAGTTTGGAAACGATTGCTATAGGGAGCTCAAATTTTGAAAACTATTGCTAGGAGACACGCACCTTTTCAACCTTTCCTAAAGGTCGTTTTAAGGAAAATGAAGTTATGCACGCTTCTCCAAGATTTTAGGATTCACATCGACTTCAATGAATGAAAAAAATCATCTAGATATAGATCCATCATGAATAAAAAAGAGATATTAACTGTCTCCACATATCTCTCTTCCTATATACTTGGAGAGCTCTCTCTCTCTTAGAGCATAGGGTCCCTTTTTCTTCTTACGATATGTGCCTCCTGTTTAACCTTGGCTTAATAATGTAGTGTAGATTAAGTGACATAATAATAAACAGTATACAAAGCCCTCACATTGCCCTTATAATTATAAATAATTAGTAAAGAGTCACGATATATATGGAGAGTCACTAACATAAAAAGTTGTAACCTATATATAATTAGTGAATAGTCACCATAAAAAGGGTGTACCCATGTGTCACTCATAATAATCAATGAAAAGCCACTACAGATGAACTGGTGTTATCCAAAGTAATGAGTATAGGGTGGTGTCTTTTGAGTAAGGGGACAAAATCGTATATTTTATTACCATATAATCTCTCTAGGGTTAGGATCCTTTCTTATTCTTGCGACCTATGTTCACCCTTAGCTTTAAGTTAATAGTGCAGGATGTGTGTGTCTGTGTGTATTTACCTATCTAAATCATGTAAAATAAACTTATTAGGTTTCGCAATATTTGAAAGGATGTGTAATCTTCAAAATTAAAATACTCAATCATTGCGTGATAATGTTTTCCCTAGTATTTGTCACAACATGTGGACAGGCACCAATGTGTAGTGGTATGTGTGGCATAAGGTAGATGCAAATCACATGCGCCAAATTCATCAAGAACACAACTGGTTAGCATATGTGTGGTACATGTGTGGGGCACACATGCTAGGCACAAGTTTGAGATACTTTGCAAGTGTGAGTATTCAATCTGGGATTTTTCATGGGAAGAGAACTATAGTTCTAAGAACTAACAAGAGGCACAAGTATATATCTGAATTATTTACGATAGTTCTCTCAAGATCACGGGATTTTCTAGTAAGAAATGATATCCTATAGTTTGCAACAGTATAGTGTTGTGGAGAGAATGGATTGTATACTAGGTCCATGATAACATAAGCAAGTCTTCGAGCGACCTCCTGGGAGATTCTCTATTGACTACTCTGTGCATCTTAAAATAAGGCGCCTTCAAGTTTTGTATCTAATATCATTAAAAGTTATTGACCAATAAGAAACCCTAGGTACGTCATTTGAGCGTTTGGATGTCAGTTGTTCTTGAGAATGTGCTAAATATAGGTCCATAGTATGAATCCCCACTAGTTGTCCTAAGAACTCAAATGTATATGCCTTAGATTATGAGTATCAAGAAGATGGCCTGATAGAATTTGAATCCTATGATATGGACTTTATTGAGTAAAAATTTCTTAGCATGGGGAGGCCTTGGGTGGCTCTAAATATGTATAAGATGATTAGATGCCGAACAAAGAATGGTGAGAAGATTCATCTACTAGAGGATAATAGTGGGAGTATTATCATGGTTATTTAGAATAGTGGCATTGAACCACCATTGGTTCCAGGGTCTCACAGGAATGCATGTGCCAAAATTTCCTAGAGACACTTTGAGATTGAAGGGAAAGATCAGACGTGCATCTCCATTGATGAGGATGAGTCTAATTCATATCAAAAAATCATTGAGATCATTTGTTGCTGGAAATTAGATTGCCTCAATGGACCAAGAGATTCATCTCATGAAGAAGAATTCAGTCAGAGAGCTCGTAAATCTTCCTTCAAGTGAAAAGCCGTCAGGAACAAGTGGGTCCTAAAAATTAAAAGTAAGACCAATAAAACTATAGATAAGAACATGACCTAATTATGAAAAATTAAGTTTATCTAATTAAGTGCATGGACTATGATGTGACATTCTCCCTAGTGGTGTGAATTATATGAATTCACTTGACAATTGCTATTATATTAACCTAGGCTCTGGAACATTATCATATTGTCTACAATGCAAATCAAAGAGATCTTCACAGGAAGATCCCTCAGATATGAACACCACAAACTGATTTTAAAAGTGATAATAGAGTGGGACAATCAAATTCTGATATGAGGTCAGATATACTCAGAAATGAGCAGATCTGCTCTCATATCAGTGGCAGAGCCAGCATTGATTCGAAATATGAAATACTATATAAAAAGTAAAGAAAACTTATTGAATTCTAATTAAATAAAAAAAAATATAGAAGAAATACAAGAAAGAGTAAAAATGTACCAGACAGGGCCAGTTGGCCCCGGACTTCTAAGGCTTCGAGGCCTCGCACGTATCAGGACCGGCTTAGTTTATGCCGTGAGTCCTCTTTGTCTTTCTTTAGGTTTTGACGAAGCCTTAGCTTGGTTGGATGGATTTCGTGATCTAAGGGTTGCAAGTGGCCTAACGCTTGGGTTTTCCTAGGTCTAGGTTTTTCTCATGTCTCATAATCTCTAAGTTTTTCTAGGCACAAGAGCTAATTAGGTTTAAAGGGTCTCTAAAGTCTAAGAGTAACGAAAGTCTCAAGAGTCTAAAAAGTCTTCTGAGGTTCAAGAGGTTTCGGAATGACATTTTATAAGCTAAAAATCATCTGGAATGGGTAACATACCCTAACCAGGAACTTTCCCAGCTTGGACTGTTGTTTTGGTGGTCCAAGGTTTGAGCGACACTGGGAGTGTCACCCAGAAAAAAATGTCCTAGGTTCATTGAACCTGACCAAAAATGATCCGGAAGGTGTTGGCATGAGAAAAATGCCAATTTGGGGCAATCACGTCTGGGCAGTAGTGTCACCCAAACCAAAACTTCCCAAAATAGCAAATTTCTATCTCTAGAGGGTTCTAGGGGCTCTCAAGACTTTACCTGCTATCAATATGGGCTAGTGGTGTCGCCCAGACCAAAACTACCCAAAATGAAAAATTTCTAGTTATGGGGGGATCTAGGGTCTGACAAGATGGTACCCGCAAAAAATCAGCCAATTTAGAATAGTATGGGCTGGGCGACACTCGTGTCGTCCAGACCAAAACTGCCCAAAATGACAAATTTTCAGTTCTAGAGGTATCTACTGGCTCTTGTGATGCTGCCTGCCAAAATTTAGGTCAAAACGAGGTCTTTTTCTATTTTTAAAGATTTGTTTACTAAAACAGGGCGTTCTGCAGGATTCTGGATTACAGGGCAGGCAGTGTGGACTATGATAGTATATGGTTTGGGGTTTACAAGGATAGTATGGTCCTAAAGGCTCAGGAATATCACAGAATTTGCCAGTTTTAAAATGGGGCGTCTACAGTTGTCCCTCTTTGTCACTCCCTGTCTTTCAAGGGACAAGTGAGTGGCAAAGAAATAGACACTCTTTGACTCTCCCTGTTCTTCAAGG